TAATTATAAATAAATATAATTAATTAAACATAATTATAATTAATATTAATTAATAAAAAAAGAGAAAAGAAAAAAATGCTTGCCCACGGTGTCTACGGACACCTACCATACACGCTCTAGTAGCGTGGTGGGAAGGCCCAGCTCCCCAATTTTCCCCCAAATGGGGGATATGCCGGGGTGCTGCCGAAATTTTCACTGAAATGTACGAAGACTTGAACAATAAGAAGACCTTCTTGGGCAACAATATAGAAGACCTGTACTTGAACAGAAATGTACAAAACTTGAACTAAAATGAGCAGAGGACCTGTACGATGAACAGTGGACTTGTGGACCTAAACCTGAACAAATTCTAAATGATTTCTAAAGGTTCAAACTCAAATAAAATAAAATCAAACTGAAGCCCAATTCAAATCAATTTGAACATGAAAATGAACTTACAAGGACTCTAGAAGACTTTGAACAAAATGTGAGCATGCAATTGAATTCAAAGGACTACAGGGGACTTGAACAAGACTAGAACATCAAACAAAGACTTTGATTTGGACTGGATCCGGATCCGAACAAAGCAGTTGAACTCGCACTTGAACTCAGGCTATACGACATCAAGTGGGGACTTGTGAACTTGATGAATTCAAGTTTGAATGAAACTTAACTCGGATTTAAACACATACAAGGAACAAAGTTTGAATCACGCACGAGGGAACTCAAACTACAAGGACATTCGTACGTTCAATAGTGACACAAAGTATGTTGTAAGCCCTCGATGCAAGAATTCCTACAACAATCCCTACAACGCCTGTTGACTGAGATGACAATACGGGAGACCAATAATGGAGGATTTGCCCCCTGTAAACAAGTACAATTAGCAAAACCACCTGAGATAGGTGAAAGGTGGATATGATATTGATGTAAATGACTCTTCTACGAATACTTCTAGGGGGTCGTAGCAAATACAACGGATCCCTGCAAATAAATACAACCTACTTGTGGATAACAAAAGTGGGTACCTCGTAGGAACAACGAACCACTGTGGGCACAAGTACAATCAACGCCCACCTGAGATTGATGAAAGGGTGGATATGATGAAGTTGACAATGACTCTCCTACGTATACCTCTAGAAGGCCGTAGTGGATACGACGGTCCCCTGCAAATGGATACTTGTGGATAACAACAGTGGATGTATTGTAAGTACAATGAATCACTGTGGACACAAGTACGGATATTACCTACAACGACGGTAACTAAGATCTACAAGTGCGTTGAGTACAAGGGCGACTCTATGTACGAAAAGGACACCCCCTGGCAGAATGGAGAAAATGTTTGAACAAATTAGAACCAAACATCCCGGTGTTCCAAAGTCTCTTTTTAGTTCTATAATTAAGAAGATAACAGTTCGGGTGCCCACAAACACCGAAAATAACAAGTCAATTACACCGAAGATCCTAAAATGAGTTCTCCCTAAATCAGCAGTCATTGACTCCAAAGTTCAGAAAGACCTTCCCAGTGAATGAGAAAGGGGGAGTCAACACCAAGACGCACGCCACCGGATCTGCAACATCTATGAAAGCAGACAGAAGGCGTCCACAATCTACAATGCCATGCCACTGGACCCGCAATATCCATGCAAGCGGGCAGAAGGCGTTTACAAAATATTTCAAAGTACCCCTGCACCTGCACTATAGTTTGTATACACATATGTACACAATGGGGTACGTCTAAATCAATATAAAAATCACCCGAATGGGCCCCGGCGAGCGTGTTATTGGTACACACGTGACGCCTAGGGATGCTGCGCGGGTCGATAAGTGAATTCTAGTTCGAACCTGATCCTTCTATACGGACCAATAGAAGTCAATAGGGTTCGAACCTTTAAACGAATACACGGTTGTGTCGACCAGTGTATTTGTTTCAATACATTCATATTAGGCCTTCAAGGCTTACAATCAAAAGAATTCACTAAACAAAAGGCATGAAGCCTACGAAACCCGATCCTCCTAAGTAGATAAATATTTGTAGACAGGGTTCGAGATATCGGATAAATATACGGTCATGAAAGTTGACCAGAATATTTATCATTCATATTCGGCCTTCAAGGCCTTCAACAAAGAAAATTCATGAATAAAGGCATAAAGCTTATAAGAAACCCGATCCTCGATCAATAGCTTGGTCGAGTTGACAGGGTTTAATCCATAAAGGGAAATGACCTATAGTACACCCCGATGATGGCCGTGTTGAATGCAGATCTCAACCGGAGGGGTCCATTTTATAAATATTTTAAAAGTCCATTCAAAATCCAAACTCCACAAATCTCAAAATCTCAAATATTTAAAATTGAAATTATCCCTAAAACACTTAAAGCAAAATCCATCCACCCTCCGCAACAGTTTGCCGAGGTGGACAAATTAAAATTTACTCCTACTCACAAAGAGTCAAATGCATAGTCGAAAATATCACTAGAATCCATTCTCAAACAGTCTCCTGCTAATAAGGACGTGGTACGTGTTCTCTAACCGGCGGTTTACCGCCAAATGGCACCACGAAATACCAGTTATGGCCAGCGCCAATACGTTCCTTAGTGGCATCAAATCCTTGAGATATCAATCAATAGGATATAATCGATAAGGCACAAAGCCCTCTGTAAACTAAGGTGGATTCAAATTTGTCCCTTTAGACAAACATTCAACCTCGGTCTACAAGGTCCCCTTGGACGAAGCAACCCATGGCTGCCGACAAGGATCCTTCTGTCAGGTTGGGTCGACTACCTCCTCTGACTAAGTAGACTAGGGACCACGATGGCCCGGGACGACGGAACCATGGGATCTTGATCGGGTCTATCATCCATTCCCCCACCATCCGCTTTAAGTGCAAGATGGTGCAATTTCTGTTTTAAATATCAACTCTATCCAAATATCCAGACTTATCCAATCTCAAACTCATTGCTACTACTATATGCTAGATGCACGTATATTCTACGTATCTGATTGACAACTAGCCTTAATCGAAAGTTCTCTCTCGTGATCGGGAGGGGTAATTAACTATAGGGGCTTGCGCCTATAGGAAACCAAAACTCAGATCATAAAGTCCTCGCAAAATGAGGGCGAAATTTCTGGGTAGTGTCTTATCTACAAACTCATCTGCCTTCCAAAATTTACCCCGGAACTTATTCAGTTAAAACTCCCTCGCCGAAACAAAAGAAAAGCGCGGCGGGGAGGCCGGGGCCGAATTTTCGGAGCCCACATCGCAGCAGTCGGCATAATGCAAATGCTCGATCCTGCACCGCAGCAAGGCAACCACGTCCAGGTTTGCAGGTAGGGTCAACCCGGTAACCCACGCAGGTCGGGGTTGGAATTCCTGACCTATTTGCAAAACTGGATTGGGTTAGGGTCAACCCGTTTAGACTCACGCCAATTTGGGTTGGACCCGAACTCAACCCGTTGACCCATTTTGACACCCTTACTGCTAGCATTAATAAACATGCCTTGCTATTTGCAAAATATTAAAATATTTGCATTACAAGAAAAAAAATTAAAAATCAAGGTTTCATGCTTTATAAAACAATGAAACCAACCAATTCAACAACTATCCAGTTCTGGAAATGTGACCAAATTATGTGGAAGCCACTCGATGTGCACAAAGCAATATGCCGGCTGTGTTGCAAATTTTATGGAATACAAAGATGTCCTTTGGCACGTGTGTTAGGTTGTATTCAAGCCATGTTAAAGCCACTCAAATAATTCTATGCTTAAGTTTGGGATTGGGTTTGTGTGAGTGCAAAGTGGGGGTGCAGACATATTTATTGCTTTGGGAGTGCAGGGGAAACTTGAAGATGAAGGTAAATAATGAAACATAAGGAACGCTATAAGTATAAAGAATGCAAAAGTCGGTTTGTAGGAGAATTTACAAACAACAGTAAGAATAACAAAAAGAAGCAAAGGAGAACAGCCTGAAACAAAATGATTTCTTGCAGTCAAATATATCCTCATATAACCTCACATGAACAGCTATGAAAGTCGCAAATCTACTTCTTAAATAAGACATCAAATAGTAGAACAAGCCAATAGTTAGAAAAAATTATTAAACCGCATAGCAACATATGGTATTGAAAAGGGGGTGTTTGCACTAATGCCAAGATTTACAGATCACTAAGATTGAGAGAAGCTAAGTACCACAAGGATGCTGAGGGTGGTCTGAGCAGCTTGCATCAATTTCAACATACGTCTTTGTTACAAGACATATTTTATGCAATTAATAGAAGAAGGTTGAAAGTCAGGTGGATGATATAAGGATATCTTCAATCCTCCGTGATCTTAGAAAACTTGATAGATAGTTTTCAATTGGAGTCAAATTTTGATGGAAAAACTTAGAGATGAAATCTTCTATCAGAAAGGAAAAATAAAAAAACTATTTTGTTCCCCTAGTTTATTTATTTTGTTATTTAGAACGCAGCGACCCATTTCTTCAGTCATCAGAAGAAAATAAAGGTTAGTACATAGAAGATACGATCAGGAGAGGCACAGCATCAGCAATTCAACTTCTATGATTGAAAAAGAGAGGATAGCCAGTGCAAAGTAACATCTTGCATAATAGAAGACATAAACATTGTCGCCCCATGACTAAAAACTAAATCCAGAATCAATACAAGTCATATATATTCATAAGAACAATTATCTCATGTTAAGCATGCACAAATAATTGAAATTTCACATATAAAGCATTGTGGAACCTATAATAAAATGAATCCTGAACAAACTAAATAAATACCTGCATAGGCTGACAGTAAGCTTTTTCTAACAATATAAATAACAGCGTGAGTTTTATAAGCATATAAAGATTATTTATAAGCTTACAAAGATTACAATAAAGCAACCAGAGACACCTGAAACTAATTTCATTAAGTCAATTAGAGAAAGCAAGTTTTTCAAAAAGAATGCATAAAAGCATGCAAATCAGCTGCGGTTTGCATCCAACAGAATAAGAGCTAATAGATAAAGAATTGAACCTTTGGGTGGTCATAACTCTCGGCATAATCAGAACCCTTTGGATACTCATAACCTTTCGGATAGTCATAGCTCATTAGGTAGTTATAATCCTTTGGATGGTCAAAACTCTTTGGGTAGTCATAGCCCTTTCGGTGATCATAGCTCTTCGAGTAATCCGAGCCCTTAGGATAATCATAACCCATTGGGAAGTCATAGATATCTGGATCAGCAGAACCAAAAGCAGCAGATGGTTGCCTTGCTCTTTTAGAGAAACTTTCTGAAGGAGCAAATCCACGTCCGGGTCCAGGAGCCAAAAGATCTATAGGAACAGTTCCTCCTGTAAGAGACTTTGCTCTGAGCCTGGATGCAATCTCTGAGAGAGCAATCGCAGCAACACTCTCATTTCCAGATATCTAAATAACCAAGTCAGAAAATCAGATAAATTTAATAAAAAAATTTATTAAAAGCCATGTCAAAATAGGTAAAATAAAACATGGTAGAAACTATAGGAGACTAAGGTTGAGGAATAACAAACACTTTATTGGACTCCGAATCAAAACACTATTTCTCATAGCAGGACCCTATAACACCTGCAAGTGATCCTCGTTGTACTGGATTTTTAGCTAAGAATGCAGACTAGTAGAGTTTTATCAAATTCAGACGCAAGCTGAGACCGCTTAAAAGAATATATTGCAAATAAACTTCAGATTCTCAAGCCCATTCCAGTTTCATCAATAACTAGTAGAAGCTACAGGCCTTAACCCAACAATTGGTTAAGTTGAAGAACGTGACGACCCACACTGTGGGACAAACTCCTATGCTTCTTTTTTGCATGTCCAAATTTCCAACATAATGAAGATGTGGGTCCCACTATGCAGGAAATCACAACATGATTATTAAGCACATGGATAAAGAAGCTTCAAGTATTGGATAGCAATCCATGCACTCTTCTCCCTTCACCTAGCCACCGGCCTCACCTTTTTTTTTTTTTTTTTTTTCCCCCTTTTTTTTTTTTTTTTTTTGTAGATTGCATATACCTTTTTCCAAATGTAATATATTTGGAGGAACCAATAAATATCTCCAATCTATGTATAGAAAGTAAGCAATAAAATTCAAAATAGTTTTTCACATCTCTACTTTTTCTGCTTTTTTTCTAATAAATAATCACATCTCTACTTTTTTTTATATTTTTTTATTTTTTATTTTTAATCAGATCTCTACTTTTCTTTATGATATTAAAGCAATTTAGGGTTTTCTTTCTCAAATATTTGTTCTCTTTCTATTCTTCTTTCTAGTGGGGATTCATAATTCTCTTCATTATATTTGATTTTTTTTTACTCCCATTCTAAAGAGTCAATCACATGAATGATTAAAATTAGAATAAGAAAGAACTCCAAAGCTTACAAGCTTTATATTATTTGAAGGTATGAAACTATCTTAAGTGGTTCTAGATTGTGAAGACCTTTCTGAAATTAAAAAATATATATATATTCATCACCACGTGGATCTTCCTCCATAGCTAAAAGTTCCAAAATTTTATTTTATGATGAAACTAATTCCATGATCATGACATGATTGTGGAATAAATGATGCATGAAATCAGTGGGTCATATATATTCATATCTACCGCAAAAGAATCTTGGGACACCGCTAGCCAAACAAGATGAAAATTCTTGTTTTGAATACTTCAATGCAATTAAGTTATAGGCTTAAACTAGACTACTACTACTAAGATATCAAGAAGACGCGTTGCAATGATGCTGCAATTCTCAAGCAATTTGTAAAAAGAGAAATGGTGTTAGAGTTTCTCATAGGACTCAATAATGACTTCGATCAAGTTCATATCCAAATCTTAAGCAGAGAAAATCTACCATCGAAGAAGGAAGAATGATAGTAATTCTAAACACTCCATTTTTCAAAACATTTGTTATGGCTAACATCGAACCCCAAGGTAAGAGGTTTACTGCCACATACTCTTCTCCTAAAGGATCAAAGGCAATCGATGGAATAACTACAATAAGAAGAAATGACCAAAAAAAAGTGTTGGAAACTCTACAAAAAGCCCTAAAGCTATGGTGAAAATAAATAACACCAAAAATAGCAAGCTGGTCTTTTTTAATTAGAAGGGTTTAACTCTAAAAAAAATTAACAAACTAACTTCCTCAACTCCCTCGAAAAATCATCTACATCATATTTTTTTAACTCAAAATGGTATGACTTTTAACTCCCGTGTTTTTAGTGCCTCAGATAATTCACCCAAAATTGGATCTTAGATTTAGAAGCCACTGACCACATGAAAAATCCTATCAACATCTCTCAAGCCTACAAACTATGCTCCAATAATAGGAATATAAAAGTAGCCAATGGTTCCCTAAACCCTATTACAGGTCAAAAAAATATTTCAATTCTTCCCAAGGTAATACACGTTTCTAATCTAGCTAGATATCTTTTATCGATCCATAAAATTGCCAAAGATCATAATTACAAGTTTTTTTTTCCTAATCATTGTCTATTTCAAGACCTCATTATGGGAAAGCCAATCGAGCAAACTAGATGGAATGATGGGCTACATCTGATTAAAGATAGAAATCACTTGTCATGATCATTCATTTTCACCCACAATACTGAAATCATTTGAGAGCATCATATATGCTAAGGCATCCATCCTTTAAAACTCTACAATATATGGTTCCTTTCTTTTAAATGTATACAACCAATAAAAAATTTTATTGTGAGGCTTGTGAAATTACAAAAGATCATCATGTTGTTTTTCCTGAAAGTGATTATAGATTTTCCACACTTCATAAGATAGTTCATTCTAATATATGGAGATCCTCCAAAATTTCCAATATTTTTGAAGCTACTTGATTTATCACTTTTATTCATGATTGTACTCAAATGCCATGAGTATATCTCATAAAATTAAAATCTGGTGTCAACATTCCTCCCCACGTTCACTACCACAATAAAAATTTAATTTAATACCAAAATAAAAATATTTCAGATAAATAATGCTCATGATTACTTGACTCACGAAGTATCTTCTTTATTTCATAAAGAGAGTATCATTCACCAATCCTACTATACTAATACTCCCCAACAAAATTGATGCGGATAGTCCTTGTAACTTGTAAGAATGCATTATAGAAATTAAAAATCCGAAAGCTAGCAGAAAACTAGATATATTGTATATATATTTTACTCAACTTTCATCTTCCACATTTTTCTTATATATATATATGAGAGTTATACTCATATTGCTGTAAAAGGACAATAAGCGAAAAGGGAGTAACAGAACATAAAATTGAAAAAGGGAATAAAGTGTCAGTCAAAGTGGAGCCACAACTAGATAATAAAAAGATAGAATAATAGTTGGTAGTATGCTGCTATGACCGAATGATGCACCGCATCAAGTCTGGCCTGAAACATAGTAACTCATGTCTAACGAGTTACAGTTGGTTGAGGCATTGTCTGGGCAATAAAATGCATAAATGTCGGAAACATGAAAGAAGAAAAAGTTTAATGATTTTTTGGATATTAATATATTGTAAGACATGATTATCACTAGCAAAACACAAAATACAAGTGTAATTGGTCATGCACCCACTATTTTAAAACACGAACATCATACAACTCTTATTAATATACTGTCCTTTTTTTTTAAGAGCGGCACTTAATTTCTTGCTAAAGAATTCAATGGGCTTTTTTAAGTCAAGAAGCAAGAACAGGGGCCCAACTGAGTGCAGATTTTATGGATTTAAAGTTGAGTTGTTTGTCATTCCACTCAAAGAATTTGAGGTTTAAGCATTCTATTATGGGTGCTGTGATAAGGCTGAAGTCACAAATAAAATGACAAAACAGATTGGCTAGTCTGTGAAAGCTACAAACATAAAAAATGATTGAGGCATAAGCCATCAACAATAGAAGCAACTTTATGTGGGCCTAAATGAACGCCGATAAATAAGATGATAAAGCCCATGAAATAAACTTGAGAGGTTGCAAACTCACATTTTGGTATGATAAAATAAAGTTTATGTTGTCATAAGGCTGTAAATATAACTGCTAAATGTTGCAATTACTTTTCAAATGTGTGGCTACAGACAAGGATGTTATCAAATAAACAACACAAAACTTATCCAAGAAGGATTTGAGTAACTCGTTCATTAGTCATAAGAATGTGGACGGAGTGTGGCATAACCCAAACAGAATCACTCTCCACTCATACAATCGTAAGAATGTGGACGGAGCGTGCCCATATATGATTACTTATTTGATTAGCTTGAGGGAGCTACAATTTTCTTTAAAATTAATCTGCATTATGGATATCATCAGTTGCGCATTAAGAAAGAAGATATTGCTAAAATTATTTTCAGAACAAGATATGACCATTATGAATTTGTAGTGATATCATTTAGGGTGACAAATGCTCCAACAATATTTATGGATTTAATGAACATAATTTTCAAACTCTTACTTGACATTTTTGTGATTGTGTTTATAGATGATATTTTGATTTATTCAAAGATGAAGACAGCCATTTCAATCATCTGCATGCAATGCTGCAAACACTCAAGAAGAATAAACTATATGCAAATTTCTCCAAATGTGAATTCTGATTGAAAAGTGAATTTTTTTGGGCAAGTGATTGGCAGTGAAAGTGTTTTAGTGGATCAAAATAAAATCAATGCTATGGCAGAATAGCCAAGGCCGACCACAGTTTTAAAAGTGAGGAGTTTTTTGGGTCTTGTTGGTTATTACATAAGTTTTGTAGAAAGATTTTCTCATATTGTAGCATCATTATCAAGATTAACACAAAAGACAATAAAATTTGAATGGTACAATCAGTGTGAAGAAGACTTCAAAAAATTGAAGAATTATTTAATAACTACTCTAATATTAATAATTCCATTAGGTACATAAGGATTCTAAATTTTTTATGATGCTTCCTTGAGGGGATTAGGATGTGTATTGATGCAACAAGGAGTAGTGTGGCATATGCTTCAACAACAACAACATCAAGCCTTTGTCCCACTACGTGGGATCAGCTACATGAATCATTTTTCACCATTGTATCTTGTTAAAAGAATGGCATATGCTTCAAGACAACTAAAAATATATGAAAGATATAATCTCACCCATGATTTGAAATTAACAACTGTGATTTTTATACTTAAAATATGGAGACATTACTTATAAGAAGTTAGACGTGAGATATTTATAAATCATAAAAGTCTCAAATTCATATTTAATTAGAAAGAGTTTAATCTAAGATAGAGAAGAAGGTTGGAGCGTATCAAAGATTATAACTTAGATATATAGTATCATCATGTAAGGACAAATGTGGTTACGGATATATTAAGTAGAAAGATTTCTGGAAATGCAAATTGGATACTCATCTAGCAGGAGCATTAAT